TCGGCCTTCTCGGCAGCCTTGCGTGCGCGCCCAGCCGTCGCTGCGTCCGCAAACGTGCATCCTTCTCTCTCGAGAAGAGAAGTCGTGAAGTTTTGAAGTTTTTTCTTTTTAACTTGACGCGACCCTTGTTTTTACCACCGCCCTTAGCCATAGGAGGTGATCTGGTAATCAATGCCACTCGTCGGCTTCTAGGTCAATCGGGGATCGGCTTTTTTCGCTGTGTGCGCAGAAACCAGAGCTAGAGAAGTAGCGAAGGCGATTTTTGACCCTCGTCTCGTTATTCGCGCCAGCTGCGTCAACAGCCGAAATTTCCGTCGTTTCGGGATTTTTCAACCACCAAACGGAAATCGGCTTCGCTACTTCTCTAGCTATAGCATAATTACAGGTGATTGTAGATTGAGAAGAGCCATCTCCTCACCGTCTTCGCGCATTTTTGATTGCGAGTTCCTTGCCTTTGCTCAAGTAAGTAGGACTGCTGTCTGTGTGCCCCCTTCAAACAAACAAAAAAAAAAGCTATTCGCAGCATGCCGTTTTTTGTCGCTCCGCAGAGGGGTAACCCCAGGGTCTAACAGTACTGACAGCTACCTCATCGTCACTATCCATCTGTTCTGAATCGCAGGGTACCAATGGCAACACCAACCCAAGCGCGGCATAAACGACTCCCTTTCCAACGTCATCCAGCAGCAGCAGCAGGAGTAGGGCAACCCAAGACTCTTTCGCGGGCTACCCGAATCACACCTTGACGTATCCTATCGGCCGGCGGTGGCCCCCGTGTCTTTTTTCTTTGTCGTCAGACAGCCACACTCCCCGTCTCGCAGACTTCCACTCTTTGTCGCCCGTCCAGTCCCCTAGTCTCTCCAGAGCCTTCAGGTTGCCCACCTGGGGGAGAGAGGATAGTTGATTCGGGAGTTCACAAGGGCAAATGCGGGGGGGGAGGGAGGGGCACCGTTGATCTGTGTTATCTCCTCGGGAACTCGGGAACGCCATTGTCCTTACAAAAGAACTATAGCAGTCGGGGGGCCTCTCAATTGCGGGTGCCCGGAATAATGCCGGTGAAATTGGCTGGCACAGATGGAATAATCAAGATCGCTTTCACCATAGAACATTGCGGGTGCCCGCTCGCTATTGCGCGGCCGAAAGCGCTCGGCGCAGACTATACCCGCACTATGGACGGCCCCCGACTGCATCCCGTGTCTTTTTCTGCCGTGGAAGGCTAGAGCGATCCATCCCCGGACACGGGAGGAGGTGGGAAGACGTTAAAGGGTGGCTCGTTTGCTCGTTGGTTCACTCACGTGGTTGCAAATGAGGTCGTACTGTCCGTTGAAGAAGAGGGATCGGACGCCCGCGTTCAGGATCGACCGCAGTTCTTTCGTCACCCCCAGCCCGTCCCACCTGCAGCCACAGAGTATTGTGCGCCGGCGGGGGAAGCCAAGGCGACGGAGGGGCGAGAGGGTCGGCAACATTTCGCTCGACAGCAGCAACGCGAGGAGACCACCAGAAAAAAACACGATATATGTAGCTGGGGCCTTCTGTAGACTAGACCTCCCTAACCTAACTACGTGGGCCATCGTACGCTGATACATCGGGGAAGGTCCCTGTGGTAATTTAGTAGCAGGCCAGATTGTTGTGCTGAGGACATGTTTCCGCGATACATCGGGAAACCCGCAATTCGGAACTGCCATACATCGGGATCACTACTGCTTGCACCCGTCTGCCTGGGCAGGGCCGCATGCGGCAAGGAATATCCTCCACAAAACTACCGTGGGCGACATGACACAAGATGCCCCACTCCCTTGGAGCCTATTTTTCAAGGCTCGATTGCTCCACAGCACAAAATTTGGTGATGCCGAAAATGGTGGTGCGGGAACCGTCTCGTGCAGAGCTTTCCGACAAACCGCCTCTTTTGATTGATGCATCCTCTTCGTCGTGGAGTACTCGGGCGCTGAAAATTGCTGCCGGGGGGGTGGTACCTTACGTTACCTACGGCACGGAACGGACCCAGTGAGCGATTCCAAAAGTAGTCCCGTTTCTCTGTCCCGTGTTGCAGAGAGTGGGTGAGTGCATTGTTTATCCTCACTTTGAAAGGTGAAAAAAGGGCTGGTCTGTGCACTCCTGGAACTTGATGGGGCAGCTGGAGGCGTGGATCGCCGCCCTGACGTCCTTCCGATTGAGATACGCCTAACACCCCCCCCCAAAAAAAAACGCGGCGCCAAACGTAACGCGGATAAATGAAAGCGGACGGTTGTTTGTATGATCACGGGCTGGGCAGCAGTCGTAGTAGTCGACCGAAGCGCATAGAGCGACTTTAGGGGGGTGGGGTTC